TGCTGAGCCTGATTCACAGACCTTCACCCTAGTTCAAGGCGTGCTCACAGAATCTGAGGGAGGAAAAGAGAAGCAGGCTAGGAAACTGCACAACTAACAACAATGTAGTGACAGTGACAGCAAACCACACCATGGTACAATTTTTAGGAAGCCACCCTTGTGTCTCTTTGTCCACACCAAGTATATAGGAATTGACTGGGGAAGTTCCATACTATCCTCCCCAGAAACACTAGATGCTTCTGCCACTGCTATTGCTGGAAGAAAGTTCCAGCTCACATATCTGTTGCTTCAAGTTTCTTGTTCTCATACCCAAATCACAGGCAAGAAGGTTGAAGGGCAGAGCCCATGTCACATGAACAGCATTACGGGAGCCTAGGAAACAGGGTGTCCGTGGAGTCTATCTTGAGAAGGAAGAACTCAAAACGCGAGAGCTATCACAGTAGAGAGATGACATTCAAAGGACACTGTGCATCTCTAAATGACAGATGTCCACTGCAGGGTAGAATTCTTCAAAAGTAGGAAGAGGTTATAGATATTGGGAAGTAAAAAAAAAATAATAACAATAACTAAGAAAAATGACAAGTAGCCACCATAAATATTTCTAATGTCCTCATTCATGGCCCCAGAAGCAACTGGAAATTCCTTGAATTCATCATCCCACTACAATAGAAGCTTCTTAGTCCCTATTTTTGTCTGTTTTATTTACCAATGAAACCCAAGTGCCAGAAAGTGCTTAATATATTATTTGTTGATGAATTAAAGAAATTCATTTGCTGCACTAAAGAAAGACAAAGCTTCAGGTGGAATGTGGGTTTAGAGAACTTGTGGTGCCTGGGTGGCTCAGTTGGTTAAGTGTCTGACTCTGGGTTTCGGCTCAGGTCATGATCTCATGGTTTTATGCTTTATTTATTTTTGAGAGCAAGAGAGGCAGAGCACGAGAGGGGGAGGGGCAGAGAGAGAGAGAGGGAGACACAGAATCCCAAGCAGGCTCCAGGCTCTGAGCAGTCAGCACAGAGCCCAATGCAGAGCTCGAACTCACAGACCACAAGATCATGGCCTGAGCCGAAGTAGAAGTGGGACACTTAACTGACTGAGCTACCCAGACGCCCCTTATAAATATTAAAATTAACAGACATAAGGGGTAGGATTTACATTTCAGTAAAGATTTCCATAGCCCAGCTGAGTGAGCTCTTCCCTTCCTACACCATGGGTAGCAGAAAACATGGGGGAAGTATTACCCAAGAGAAAGAGCAGAGCACAGTAAAATGCCATTGAGACCTCTACACCTTGCCTAAGCAATTCAGCCAGGGCGTTCTGTAACTCACAAGGTATTATAGAATATTCCACACCACGTCAATTTACTACTTTACTGCCCCTGAATAAACAAGGGTGCCCGTGATAGCTTCATAATTTCCTATTAACAAGCAATTATTCCCATCTTAAAAGGAATCTCAGATTCTGTGTTTCTTACTTTCCTTCTCAGAAGTGGGATTTACAAAATCCAGTTCTGTCAGGGTGTCCTTCCTCTTTGCTTTGCTACATTTACAAACATATATGTATATGTATTCCTAAATGGTACTGCACCAGATGGCAGAAACTACTCTAGTTAATTTAAATAGAAAGAGATGTAATTCAGGCTACTAGGAACCTACAAAATCTTTGCAAGCAGTGGGGAAGTGAGCTCCAGGGTGAGCCTTTAAGAAAGACTCCCAAAAAACACCACCGAACCAGAAGCTATTACCTCTGCCCTACTCAACTGGACACCACTGGGACTGAGTTCAAGAATACACAGCTTAGTGGGGAGCCAGAAATCCAGAAGAAGCTCCGAGTTCTTTCGGCTGAGTGATTGAGTGAATGGGGGTGCCATTTAGTAGACTGAGAATGTATTGGGATTAACAGGCTTAAGAGGTAAGAATGTACCAAGAGTTCTGTTTTGGTCACGATAAATTCAAGATACCTGTTGGATATTCAAGGGGAGATGTTCAGTAAGAGGTTGGATGTGTGAGTTTAGAGACCAAAGTAAAGTCTAAGTTGGAGATTTAATTTAAGTGGGTTCATATTGTTGGGGCGCCTGGATGGCTCAGTCAGTTGAATGGTTGAACATCCAACTTTGGCTCAGGTCACTATCTCAAGGCTGAGTTTGAGCCCCTGCCTGTCATCACAGAGCCTGCTTAGGATCCTCAGTCCCCTTCTCTTCTCTCTCTGCCCTGCCCCCTGCTCTCTCTCTCTCTCTCTGTCTCTCTGTCTCTCTCTCAAAATAAATAAATAAATAAATAAATAAAACTTTAAAAAAAAAAAAGGAAGAAAGCACTACTATCAGTCTCAGGCAGTGTGGGACCCAAGGAATTTAACAAAAATCCCCTACCCCTGGACAAGCAGAGCAAGACTGACTCCATTTTGTGCTACACCCACCATCTCATGTATAACCCCCACATGACCTACTTATTGCTTAAGACACTCCCCCACCCTAGTCAAGCCGTTGAGCATACCCTTACTGGAAACCGGCTCAAATACGAAGCAGAACCCCTAACCGCCAAAGAATGTAAACCCCGCCTTTTGCCCGCCAAACTTGCGCGCCAATTCTGACCAGAGTGATAGGCTAGTTCAAACAGTTACTATAGGGTAAATTGTAATTCAATTGGCCACCTGCATGTGGACTAACATGACTATGCAACTTTCTGTGTGTGTACATGACTATGCAACTTTCTGTGTGTGTTACAATCTCATTGGCCACTGGCCCCTATAAAACTGCTACGCCTCTTAACCTAGGAGTCCAAGTCCCTGCTCCGCTGTGTCGGGTATACTTGGGCCCAAGCTCGAGCTTGCAAATAAACCCTCGTGCGTTTGCGTCGGTATTGGCTCCTTGGTGGTCTCTCGGATTCGAAATCGGGGGCATTACAGCAGATCCTGGAAGAGGTTGTAAGACAAGAGAAGTAAGCATGGTCATAGTTCACCAGAACAAAACACCCGAAACAAATTTGTTGTTCTTCTTCACCAGATTGATGATTTGTAGATGCAAAGTATGGTATCGGTCAATACCTCTTGATTTCAGTAAGGAGTCTGATGATCTTTCACAACATTGTTCTAGCCAAATGAGGGAGAATATCTTGGATAAATTCACAAATGGCACATTCAACAGGGAGGTCTCTAGCGTCCGTGTCTTGAGGCGAGCTGTAGGCAAGTTGGAACAACTAGGCCAAAAGCATGGTTTTTGTTTTTGTGTTTTTTTAAAAAAAATTTTTTTTTAACATTTATTTATTATTAAGAGACAGAGCATGAACAGGGGAGGGGCAGAGAAAGAAGGAGACACAGAATCGGA